GAAGTTGCTATGGGTGGGGTAAAGGGGTTGGGCCCCTGGGGATTTCCCATCACATTCAGAGACATAAAGCTGGGATATCAAGGGAGGTTAAGGCAGAGAGAAAAAGGGATGTACCTTGACTCTGTGGTTAAATGTAGGTGGAGGTAAGGACTAAGCCGAGGAGATAAAACACAAACTCACGTGTGGGACAGGCTGTTTCTCCCCCTAGGTTTTCCTTTACCAGTAGCCTGCAACCAATTAGGAACTAGAGCAGCCTTCAGACACCTCCCACTCTGAACACTGGATACCCCCACAATCAATGATTCATGTTCTGAGCAGTGTGGGCTGGGGGCCAGGACACCTCTTCACACAACTTGGAGCAGTCCCTCGGGACAGGCTCTGGGGTGGGGAGTTCGAGAGGCGGCAAGCCACTGGAGAAAAATGGGCACATAGAGCCAAGATGAACGTAAAAATAAGATGCAAAATGAAATGTAAATGAGCGGCTGTTTTATTTTGAATCCCTAGAAACAATTAAGCCAAGGTGGGAAACAGGGACTCTGGAGCCCCGGATTTTTCCATGCCACCTCACCCTTCCTACCCCTCCCACCCCTCCCTTTTCTCGCTTTGACCTTAAATGTTTTCTGCCTTGGCTGCAACTGTGGAAATCCTGAAGCTATTATGGAGCCTGAGACAAGTAGTCAGTCTGGTATTGACTCCACACCTTCACAAATTCTGGCATGCACTATGGCCCTCAAATCTGGGTAGGGACGAAGTGAGAGAGGGTCAGTTTCTCTGAGGTATCCACGAGGAAAGAAATATCAAATTCTTATGTATCTCTCGCCTCAGTACCCCTCTTCCCTCCCAAGGCTCCCCCTGCTGTATCTCTACACTTACTTGGGGGAAGCAAATCAAAGGAAAGAAAGAAGGGAGCATAGAGGAATAGGAAGACCCACACATTCATGGTCAAGCAGGGTACAGGAAGATACAAGAGTAAGGTTAGCTTCTGGCCAGAAATGGAAAGAAAACAACGCAGGTAATAGTGAACAGCAGCGCTGAAGTCTGGCGATTTTTACCTCCTCACAAGACAAGTCTGGCTGTTGGAACCCTAAGGACGTTCTACTCTCCCCTAGCCCCCCCAGTCCCCACCTACTACCACTTTCCCTGGTCCTTCTCAAGCCACATCTGAGCAGAGCAGGGGGGGAGGGTAGGAGGGTGAAGGGGGTGGAGCTCAGTGAGTCATCTGATGAATCACAGACCCAGATATACGCACAGAAACAAGGCCACAGACCTGCCCACCTCCACTCTAGCACTTTTGCCCAGCTACAGTATTCCCCATTCTATTCTGCTTTTGGACACCACCCCCCTTTCCTCCCTCTGTGCGTTGAAAAGTAGGAAGGGAAGGGGAGAAAAAAGACGCTAAACTGGGGAGATTAGAGTATGGAATTATTTGAACCAAAGTCACGACCTCAGGCTTTAAGTGATTGTCCTTTCTCCATCTGAAAAGTGGGAGAAATTGCTGGGGCCTGGGTGACTCATTATGAAGCTGCTGTGCACTTGACTACAGGGAAAAGCAGGAAAAAAATAACATGAAGAAAGTGTTGAGGAAAAAGAAATGAGCTGCCCAATGAAGGTCATGATTCAGCTGTGTGTGTTGCGGCGGGGGGGGGGAGGGCCGAGGCATCCCCTAATGTCAAATAGCAGCATTAAGCTTTCCACTCTTCTACCTGGTTCAAACTCTAGCTCTCTTTCTTCTGAGGAAGAACGAACTAATCAAAGAGAAAACGGACCCCTTCCTATTCGTCTCCCACCCCCTCCCATTGCCAAACTCTACCTAGAGCTACTACAATCCAAGGAATTCCTTACTTTGGGACAGGGTTAACCTTACCCACCCCTCTTGGTCAAGTACACCCACTACGGGCGTATATGCGTGTGGGGGTAGGGGTGCCTCTTTAACCCTACCCTCAAATTTGAGGCTTGGCTAATTGCAGAGGTCATAGATCAACTTAAGACAACGTCTTGGGTTTTAAGTAAACTGTTTGGAGATTGAAAAGCTTATTGGCACCATCTGCAGAGTGACATCTCATTTTCTGAACACATGATCCAAAGCCATTTGCTTTTAAAAATTTTTTTTATTTTTGTCTGTGAGCTCTAGGGTTTTGCATAAATGAGAAGGAATCAGTAAGGGGGAGAGAGAAGGTAGCACCTGTCCCCCCCCAACCCCACCCCTTTCACCTCTGGCTCTTTTACAGCAGTAAGTTTAACTAGGAGAGATTTGAGACCTCTCCCCCAAACCCCATCCCCCCAAATGTGAATTTTTAAACCCTTTTACAGATTTTTGTCAATTAAAAGCTAAACCAATTAAAAGAGGGGAAAATCTGGATTAACTCTCACACAACTCTTAAGCACAATCAGAAGGGCAAAGAGGGAATTTAAAAAAAAAGATATTGGAGTAATTCTAGGACTGTCCCTACACAACATCCTAGAATCACATGGCTAAGGTAAAAGAAATGAGAGGGTGGGATGGAGGACCAACAGCAAAAGTCTTGAGGCAAAGGGAAAGGAAAGTACAAGAACCTTGAAAAGCTCCTTGTCCTCAGAACCCCTGAAGCCCTGTACTGCAAGAGGATAAGTGCACTTAGAAGACTGAGAGATGGGGGCATCCCTAGTCTTGGTTAAAGGATTTCTGCCTCCCTTCCACATATACACCACTCTCAAACTCAAATGAGTACCAGACAGATTGTTAACAGGGCATCCACATCCATGCCTAAAATACTAATGATACTTTCCCCCTTCTCCCTCACCTTCTAAAGGCCTTGGTGCTATAAAACAAACTTACCCACTGTCATGATCTCATGGATATCATGATCCCTCCTCATCCCCCATAAAAAAATCTTTCACCCATCTTCCCCTATAGAAAAATAGCTATTAATCTCAGGACCCCTCCTCACATTGAGAAGGGGGTGGGGTCTCAATGCCTCAATAAATAATTACCTTCTTCCATTTAAAAAAATAATTTAATTTTTAAGAAAAATCCACAGGGCTTGAAGGAGACCCAACCTACATCCCAACCCATCCTCAGCCAGGAAACTAAGAACTTTTTTTTTTGAGGGGGTGGGGAAAGGGAGTGGAGTTAAAATTACATCTTTATTGAAAAAAACACAACACTTGGCATGGAGGATTTTGTAATAATTTCATTTCTATTCTCACTCTCAAATTTAAAAACAAAAAAGTATCAAACTAGAACCTAACTAGAGTTCAAACTCAAAAGAATGATAGAGTATCTTTTCATTCTTTTTGAGCAGGAAGATGCTTGAAAGTTCTTTGGCTTTTTTCTCTTGGATCTGCCTCCATCTCTCTAGGTCAAGGGGTGGAGGAAGCATAGAAATTCCTAGGTCAGTTTCTCCACCCTCGCCCCAGACACCCCCATTTGTCTTTGGATATTTTTGCTTATTTAAAATCAAATAACCATTTTTTCAAGAGCATCCAAGAGAGAAGAGCCAGAGGCAATAAGGTTACAGAAAACAGCAAAGTTGAGGCTTTGTGGCTGAGAAACAGAAGGAAAACAGGTAAACACGTCATCTAGTTATATGCAACCCTGACATGTAGTAGAAATTTTATACCCCCTGTCCCCAACCACTCACTCTCTCTGGACAGTGGAGCAAAGAGCCCCTCTTTTTAATGAAAATTCCCCAGCTGCATCTGCCAGCAGAAAGCCCTTATCTTTGTCCCCTAGGTATTAGGGGGAAAATTTCAATTAAAAACAGGGAGGAGTACATTTTGGAGTAGGTAAGGTGAGAAAGCATCTCAGGAAACTCCAAGTAGAGAAATATTAGTTTCAACCAGCCCTCCAGATGCTAGGTATAATTATTCTCCTTCTCTGAACAAATCCAGGAATGGATGCAATTGCATAGTTGACACCTTTAAGAAAAGTCAAAGAGAGACACTGCAGATGGGACCAAGAAAGGTCCTCTGTTTAAAGCTCTCAGAAGTGGTCAGGGCCAGAACCACCTCTGTCCTGGCTTGTGCTTTGTGCAAACTGCGAAGGGCCCCCCCATTCCCAAGCAAAGGGAGATAGGTGGCCAGAAAAAGGGATTAATCTAAGGATTAATCAGCTCACTGGGAGTAAAGTCTGTGGTTGTAACTCCAAAATGTCATGTTTCACTAATTCCCCACTTCTTGTATAAATTACCTCCGCCTCTAAATGTCTCCAGTCCTAATATAAAAAATATCTTCTTGTAAATTACTTTTTATTAATTTTCATTTTAAAATAAACTACCCACAAATCTACGGTCAGCTATGGCTCAACAAAAGAAGCCTAGATGTTAAGTTCACTCCCCAGAAGTGAAGAGGAAGGAGAAATGTCACACAAGTAGAAAAAGAAATCTTTTTGTGTGTTTTTCTTCTTTTTCAAACAAATTAGTACATAAAATAATTTTTCATTCTACTTTAAAGCAGTGCTCCTAATGGGATGGGAATAGCAGGTTTAGGTTTTTTTAGGGTTTGTTTTTAACAGTCTTGCCAGTTATCTCTCGCCCACCAAGCCAAGCTCATATCCCACCCAAACCCCCATGTTTAGTTACTGATATGGCCAAAAATCATGATCTCTACAAGCTATCTCTGCAAAATCCATCCAGAAAAAACCCCAAACACATAGAAGTTGCTCTTCTGCCTCTATCCCTCCACAAAATGCTTTAAAAATAAGACAATTAAAATAAAAAATAAAATTATAACCCCATCAATTGGCAGCTACCTCCACCCAGCTTGAACTGTGACCCACAAAAGGTAGGAAAGAACAAGCAACAATCCTCCCTTCAAAACTGGAATAAATGACACAGACTTCTCAAATTTGTTCTTTTTAAGGAGGAAACAGAACCACAGGAAAATTATTTCCTTCCATCCAGGAAATAGTAAACCTTGTGATTTAAACCAAATCCTGCCCTCTTTCCCCACCCCCAACCAATCACTGGCCCAGTCCTGCTAGCTTCTTCCAGGGAGAATCCCTACCCCATTTTCTACCTGAATCCAAATCAGTAGTAAGTTTATTTTAACCTCCCTTCTGTCACATACTTTTCCAACCTACAAAGAACTTTGGTCTTTTATTCCACCAACCTCAAGCCTATTTCTCTACTAGCTTCATGGTGTCCCAATAGGTAACTGTCCCTTAACACCCCAAGATGGGGAAAGGTAGGTTATTGGGTGGAACCACAACAGTGTCCCCATTTGCTTCTCCTGCCCTGACACACCCAGTTCCATGGGGGACACTACTGTTTTTGAGGTACCTTCCTCAGTGCCCCTACCCAGCCCTGGCCAGCTCCTAGCAGCCTGGGCTACCCATCCCCTTCTCAACACCCTGAAGCCTGGGTTGGGTCCCACAGAAGTTATTGCATTAGCCTTACCCACACCGGGCTGGGTCACCATGAGCCAATCAGTTGTGCTTACCTCTCTTTGTTTTGCCCCCTTACCCTCCCAGCTTCCACCCCCATTCAGAATCTGTGTACCAATAGCTCCCCACCCCTTTCCTGCTCCCTCCTCCTCAGTGCCTCCCGGTAGCAGCAGGAGCAAAAGTTGCTGGTCTCGGGGTGTCCATAGAAGCTGCAGTTCGGTTGTTTGCATTTGTTCTGGGTCAGGGGAAGCCCCAAGTCTTCCACTGTCCCTCCACCCCATCCATCAGCACCATCCGGCTCTGGGGGCTCCCTGTAGCCATTACTGTAGCTGTCTGCTACACGAAAGGAGGAGGGTAACAACGATCCCCCTGGGTTTCCATCCACAGAATGAGTGTCTCTCTCCAAAGGAACTGGGTCCTGATGGGGGTAGGGCCTCCCTGAGGAGCACTGTCTAGGGAAGGTAGCATAAGAGGGGAGTCCCCCTCCACAGGGACCCCCTGCCACCTGCCTCCCAAGGTCCTGGCAGTGGGGACCACCCCCAGCTGGCCTGGGGATAGTGAAGCCCCCAGGGTGGCTGGTGGAGAGTGCAGCCTTGGCCTCAGGGGAAGGGCTCAGGAGCTCTTCTCCCCCATCTGGCTCTGGTTTCTTCGCTGGGGGGGGCCCACTTCCACCCCCTCCATTCATTTTCCTTTCTGCCTCTTTCTGCTTCTGCTCAGCCTGGAATCTCTCCTCAGCATCTGCCAGGTAGCGCTGGATCATCTCCTCCTGGTACTGGTGTCGGTGACTCATCTTCAGGTTTCCAGCAAAAATAAACTTACGTTCCCCCTGCATTGCAATTCTCATAATGCTCAAGCTCAGCCTCACCTCCTGGCTATACTTGCTCCCTCCATCACCTGGAGACTCAGGGGTGGGCTTTTCAGGCCCACCAATATCCCCAGATGTGTCCTCCTTGCTGCCCTTCCAGCCCTTGACTGAGCCTTTCTTTTTCTTGTCCAGTATCTCACTGCTACTAGGCGGCACCCCAGACCCTACCCCGATCCCAACAGGTTTGGCACCCTTGCCATGCATTAGGCCCCCCATGTTCTTCTTGAGTTTACTGCCCAAAGTCTTGCCAAAGCTGCCCAACTTGTTGGCAACTGAATCTGCTCTCTTCTTATCCTTCTCCTGATCTTGCTTTGGTTTCTCTTTTCGCCTACTTCCCCCATTGCTGGTAGAGTTGCTGCCGACTGATTCCTTGTCAGACTCCCCTGATTCTGGGGTAGAACGGAGTTCATCCCCAGCTGAGGCTGTGGGGGACTCAGGTTGGGCCAAGGGAGCCTAGGAAAGACAAAAGCATCATTGAAGATTATCCCGGGGGGGGGGCAGCTAGGTGGCGCAGTGGATAGGGCACCGGCCCTGGATTCAGAAAGACCTGAGTTCAAATATGGCCTCAGACACATAACACTTACTAGCTGTGTGACCCTGGGAAAATCACTTAACCCCCACTGCCCAACCAAAAAAAAAAAAAGATTATCCCACATTTCTACCTACCTCCTTCCCATTCCCACCCCCAAGTTCTTCAGTAACTCTCTGGAATGGAGGTGGAGAGGGTTGGTTTATTCTCTTTTGCTAATCACCGAGGAATGTAACTGCTGTGACAAGTAAAGAGTTGTTCCTGGTTTTTAACTTTCATCCCACCCACCACTCCTGGGACTTCCTGTGGTAGTTCAGTCTCATGCTAGAACAGAGCTTAGATATCCCTGTAGGATTCTAAGCAACACCTGGCTTGTCTGTGTAGGGTTGAGTTTACAAATGTCTCCTTCCCCCCCACTCTGCCTAACATCCCTTATGTATTCCATCCAGAGCTAAGTTCCTTTCTCCCACCTAGCCTAGGTTTCCCCTACAACAATGGGTCCCCCCACTAGTGAAAGATGAGCTACGACTGTGAAGGCAAAGAAGTTCACCTGGGCATCAGAAGGTAAAGAGATCCATTTCACATTCATGTAGCTATGTAGCAGGTGTAATTTTGCCTCCAGGGACAGGGTCACACTGCAGGAAGGAAAAAAAAGAATCAAAAACCAAAGGCTTCAAAGGGGGTAAATAAGACTACAGTCTGTCAGTGTTTATCAAGTTCATAACAATAAAAAAATTAAAATCTGAGAAAAATAATAAAATAAAGAATGAAAGTCAAGTACGTATGTACTAGGAATTATACTAGGTCAGGTAAACTAGGTCACTATTCAGATATGGGGGATATTAAGGAAGAGAATAGGGAAAGATGTGAGTATTGTTCTAAATATATTTATTCTCCAAGTTTGCCAAATTCAGGGTTGGGGAGGGTTTGGAAGGCTAGAAAAAACATTTAATTCTTTCTCTATTTTATTCACATATACTCCAAACTCAGGGGTACAGGGCTAGAAAAACTAGACACCTGAGACCTGGGAATTTGCTTCTCTTGATATTCAAATTCTACAGGGCCACAAACCTACAGTGGACAACTTTGGCTATTTTAAATCCACCCTCATTTATATTTTTGTCAGGGTAGACAAATCTAGCCGTAAGAAGCAATAATTTGATAGCCCTGCCTGACCTCTCAGGTCATGTTTTGTTATTTTTTTTATTTTTGCAATGTCTATAATACTAAGGACAGAACTATCATCTCTATTCCACTGAAAGGAGGAAACAAAAAGCTCTGGTTTTGTGCCACCAACCCCAACCCCCTAAGAAACTGTAAAAGCAGCTATGCAACATCACAATTTTAGTATTGGCCTTTGGCCAGCCCCCCAGAGACAGGGGATATTTCAGGTGCTATCATAGATCCATTTTGAGATGGGAAGACTTGTGGAGGTGCTAAGAAGTATGCAAATGTATGTGTAAAGGTCTTAAACACAGAGAATCCATTTGCCTGACCTGGCCAGCCTGACGTTGTCACTCTCATCCTTGCCCCACTCCCAGCTCTTTCCAGGGTCCACTGCAAAGTGCAAGGGTAACAGCTTGTGTTCGGAGTCCGTGAGTGGGATCACTGCTAGGGAAGGGAGAGGAGTGAGGAAGTAAAGAAACAGGTCATTAAGAAGCCTCTGAGTAACCAGGCACAGGTCAGCCTGCTCTGAAAGCAAAAGGGAATAATTACCATATCTACCAGACTATTCTCTACTCAATTACCTATTTTGTGGAGTTAACTTCTGCCTGCTACACAGCCTCAAGAGAGCCTTCAGCCCACCCTCAGTGAACAATCAACGGGGATCACTTACTGCCTCTGGATTAGTGTCAGGCAGTCTGTGCTGAGAGACCAAACTCATCTGAGCATAAACATAAGCAAAAGAGTCCTGTAACCCAGTTACCTTGCTGTACAGGGTCCTGTTCCAGGGCGGAGTGAGAATTTCAACTGCAGTGACATACTGGATGCACCAATGTCCCTGTGACTTTTAAGGCCTGATCTAATATTCCCTTCTACTGCCAAGAACTGTTTTAGCCCAAGCTTTTCCTTAATCTCTCATTTCAATTCCCCATGAGGAAACAAGGCATTGTAAAAGAAGGAAGACGGATAGAAACCAGAGAAAGACACCATCATCATCACCTTGCTCCTTGGAGTTCTCTTTCTGCTCCATAGACACCAGTGCAGAGAAATGAGCCTGGTCATAGGCCAATACCAGGGGTGATCGGTGACACCGGCTGGCAGGGACTTCCAAGGGCAGATAGATCCCCCCAAAGGGGATTGGAGCAAATGCTGAAGAAGAAACATAAAGGAGAAAATCATTAAGCCGATCAATTCCCTTTGCCTAGGAGAGATCTTCCTACCTTCTGCCATTTGTATATCCCTAACAAAGACTAGTTAACAGTCTCCTCTTCCAGAAAGTCTTTACTTATTAACTCCAGTCTATGACATCTTCTCAGCATTTGTATTTTATTCCCCAGTGTGTCTTATGTTTGTATTATGCTACTCATCTCCCCCGCCCTCTCAAAGGCATAGTACCCATTTCTACACAGAGTTCAGATTAGAACATGTGATTAAGTGACCCACCTTCTCCTCCTGAGTCCCGAAGCATGGTGTCTGCCACGACAACAATTGGCCTCTTAAGCACATGTGCAAGAACAAAGACATGGAACTCTTCCAGGCTCTCATATACGGGTTCTTCTGAACTTTCCACCCTGAAGTCAAAGGAGCAGAAAAGTAAACCTATGAAGACTAAGCACTCTTGTCAAGAGATGAAGGGAAAACACTGGGGTACAATGGCACAGCTCTGGACCAATTTTAATTAGACCTTTTTTCTGCTCCTGGCTCTGTAACTAACTAGCTGTGTGACTAGAGCCACATCATTTCTGGAAGCTTTCCCCACCCCTCTATAAAACAATGGTCAGGCTGGAGGAAAAACTACATCAAGAACAGTTCATAAAAATTTTCTGGATCAAATAATCATAATGGGCAGGAGTGACACTAAGGAATATGAAGAGAATGACATCTGATTGTTGTCACTAGTACCCATCACAAGTCTGGACCATTCAAACTAAAATAGTTAAGATGTCACAGGTTGTTGAATGCAACCAACCAAGTCCTGAGGCCTAAGCTGATATGAGGACTCACTCTATATAGGAAACCTATTCAGTGTTTTCAGGCCTGCCAGACAAAACCTCCCCTTTAGGAGCCCCATTACGGGGCTAATATTAAGTTCTGTCTTCTTTGAAAATACCTGAGGGTCTATCATATTCTTTCATAGCGGCTGGTTAAAGATTCATGTTCACTTTTATCCAGGGACTTAAAATCACTACTAAAATGGCCCCCAAGAATCCCCTTTTCTCTACATAAATTCCTAGTCTCCACGATTATAAAAAGCTAATTTTATTTCCCCCAAACCACCCTAAAGCAAAATCCCCTTCCAAAAGGCCCCCTTCCAAACACTTTCTGGGAAGAAATTCTACAAACCATCCCAAAGGACAGGAAACTTGCAAACTAAAGAAGACCTGAACCATTTCTCCAGGATGCACAGACTTTTCCATGAGGCAAAAACCTCTAGGCCTAAGCAATCACACACAGAGGATATTAATAATAATAATAATAATAGTTAACATTGATACAGCCCTTCCCATATGCCAGCATTTTTATTATCTCATTTGATCCTCATTTGAACCCTGGGAGGTATTTTTATCATTATCCCTATTTTACAGATGAGGAAACTGAGGCAGAGTTTAAGTGACTTGCCCTAGGTCACATAGCTAGCAAGTGTCTGAGTCACATTTGAACTCAGGTCTTCTCAACTCTACACCCAGTGCTCTATATCCAAAGCTCCACTTAGCAGTCATAAGGAAAAGCTAGAGAAGATCAACTAGAAATATATAAAAAAAGAAATCCCATCCTACTCCGGCAAGTTCTTTCATAATTTAGACCCCAAGAAACTATTTGAGAGAAGAACCCTGCCCCTTCTTAGAGTAGCACTGATTTATCAAAGACAGTCTTTGGAAGATCATCAAATTGTGATATCAGTGATATGATGATGTTATTGCATTGAAAATCCATCTGACCCTTCCCCAATGCCAGCTGCCTAGGCAAGATGAAAACCCATAAATATGCTAATAATGGGCTCAATCCTAAACCTTCTTTGTAGTAAAATGAGTGTCCATTTGGAGTTTATCTTGTTGGACAGTGTGACATATTGTTCTAAACTTACTTTCTGCCAGAGTGCTTTCCAATTTCCCAGCTGTTTTTGTTCAATTGTGAGTACTTACCAAAGTAACTCAGGTCTTTGAGTTTATCAGACACTACTCTGTGTGTTTGCTTCTATATACTGGGTACCTAATTTCTTCCACTGATGTCTCCTCTGTGCTCTCCCCTTTCTCTTTCTCTCTGGCTTTCTTTCTTTTAATGAGTACCAAGTCATTTTAATGATCACTGCTTTTCAGTACAGTTTAAGATCTGGTATTGACAGACTTACACTTTTTCCCTTCCTACTTTTTCTTTCTTTCTTTTTTTCTTTTTTTCTTTTGGTAGTTGGGGTTAAGTGACTTGCCCAGGGTCACACAGCTAGCAAGTGTCAAGTGTTTGGTCCGAGGCTGGATTTGAACTCGGGTCCTCCTGATTTCAGGGCCGGTGCTCTATCCACTGCGCCACCTAGCTGTCCCCCTTTTTTTCCCCCCATTAGTTATCCTTAAGATTTTCTTAACCTTTGTTCCTCCATGTGAATTTTATTATTTTTTTTCTAGCTTTACAAAATATTTCTAGTTTGATTAGTATGACCTTGGATAAAAAAAAATGATATAGGTAGTACTATCATTTTTATTATATTGGTTCAACCTACCCACACATAATTAACATTTCTCCAATTACTTAGGTATGTTTTTGTTTATGGAAAATGTGTTCTGTAGTTGGATTCAGATATTTCCCAGGTGAATCTTAGTAGATACACTTGCCCAAATTTTATAATTTCTATGAGTTATTTTGAGTGGAATTTCTCTTTTTAGCTTTTCACATTAGATTCTATTGATATATATATAAAGGAATGCTGATGAGTTATGTAGACTTATTTTGTATTCTACAACTTTGTTGAAATTATTACTTTAATTAGCTTTTGTTGATTTTCTAGAGTAAGTAAGTTTCTAAGTAAGTTCTAAGTATATCATACCATCACATTTGTTTCCTCTTTGTCTATGCTTATTCTCTCAATATCTTTTTCTTGGCTTATTGCTTGCTAAAATTAGCATTTCTAGAATTATGTTAAATAGTAGTGGTAATTAACAGGCACCCTTGCATTACCCCTGATCTTATTAGAAAGGCCTCTAATTTTTCACCATTAAATATAATGTTTGCTTTTGGAATTAGGTAGATATTATTTACCATATTAAGGAAAGTTCATTTATTTCTATACTTATTAAAAAGTTGTTGAATTTTGTCAAAAGCCTTTTCAGCATCTGATATAATCATATGGTTTTTATTATACATGTATTATTAACATGATTATATTTAATCTCCTTACATTGAATAAGCCCTACATTCCTGCTATAAATCTAATTTGATCATAATATATAATCTTTTTAATATGCTGCTATAGCCTATTCGTAAAAATGTCATTTTAAAAATTGTCAACATTCACTAATACTTTGCTTCCTCTACTTTGTCTCTCCCTGGTTTAGGTATCAAAATCATATTTGTATCATATGAAAATACTGCAAAAGTGCTTTCTTTTCTTATTTTTGCAAACAGCTTATGTAGCATTATAATTAATTGTTCTTTGAATGCTTAATAGAATTCATGTGTAAATCCATATGATACTGGAAATTTTTTTCCTCTCTGGGAGTATATTTAAGGTTTATTAAATTTCTTTTTCTGATATTAGGTTATTTAAAGAGTGTTTCTTTTATTAATCTGGATGTCGTATAATTTTGTAAGTATTCATGTATTTTCTCTAAGTTGTCAGTTTTGTAAGCATGTAATTGCAAGAAATAGTTTTTGATAATGTCCTTCGTTTCCTTTGCAATTGTTCTTACTCTTTTTTCATTTTTGATCCAAATAATTTGGCTTTCTTCTTTCTTTCAAAAATAAAATCAGGTTAGCTAATTGTTTATATAGCTTATTCATTCCCCACCCCCACTCCCAATCAAAATAAAAGACAGCTCCAAAGTTTTTATCAATTTCATGGTCTTTTTGCTTTCAATTTTATTAATCTCTTCTTTAATATTTGAAATTATCATTATTTAGGGATTTTTTATTTATTGTTTTTAAAGTTTTTAAAATTACATGCCCAATGGTTTGTTCTTTTTCTCTTTTCCTGATGAAAACGTAGAGAGACAATCAATTTCCCCTTAGAATTATTTTAACTGCATCTCACAAGTTTTATATGTTGTCTCATTATCATAATTTCTTTAAAGAAATTTCTAAAAATATCCTGATAACTGCATTTCAATAAAATAGATTTCCACAGCAATCTTACATGTTCTATTTTATTCATTTTAAAACGTTCCTCTGAGAAGAGATTTGCCACTGTCAAAGGGTTCCATGACCAAAACCAAAATAAAACAAAATAAAACAGCCCACTTCTGTCTTATCACAGTTTGCTAATAGAAGACAGGTCAAGATCCATATAGGATCATACATACTGATCCTTCAAAGGTACAAATAAAAATAATTCAACAAATAGGAGCCATAAAAAAAAATACCCCAATGGAGAATATAGGTTCTCCAAAACTCAAAGAGTTCAGTAAGTCTTTAAGTTTCCTTCTTAATTTGTGGGGAAGCAAGTATCAATAGCTTCTTATGAACTGTTTATCTAGAATCATCAGGTTTCTTCCTAAAAACTATAACTGAATAGACTGGACTCTGAATTTTCTTACATTGGTCTCCCACACTACTTCGGTTCTGGTTTGAGCCATCATCCAATCTAAGGCTTCTGCTGCCCTGGCTTCATCTGGCTTGTCATTACATCACTAATATAATGGCAGACCTCAACGTCCTCAGGAAGTAAAGCCTCTTTAAATCTTTGCTCAGCCTGTCAATTAGCATTTATTAAATGCCTGCTGTGTGCCAGATACTGTCCTAAGCACTGGCCTAATAAGAGGCGGGCGCCCAAACACCTAAGGAGGTTGTTAGATATTAGTAACCAAGTTATAGTATGTCAGTTTCATAAGGACAGGCCAATTTCTATTGGAGATTTTGAGGAACAAAACATGAGGGAAAGAATATCCTTACTCAGGTGGACATGGATATTAGACTCCCTGTTTAGGTAGTAGTTGTGGTAGCTGACAGGAGGAGGAGTGAAGGAGTATATTGTGGGTATGGATATTAAGAGTTTTGGGGGATCAGTACCTATCTGGGAGTTTACAGTAGCTTCTATACTAGTTATTGTGGGCAGGGCTAACTGGAAGACTCTAGAATTGCAAGAAACATCACCTGGAATTGTTTGAAACATCTCATGGAGTTAATACTGAGCAATACCAGAGGGCAGGAGAAAGACATCTCACTAGTAATAGAGATGAACACAGCTGGCATATTCTATTATACAGATTCCCCTTTTAATAACCTTGTGCTTGCTACCAGTGATGAAAGTAGATGGAACCTGGTGATTAACAGTGGAATACTGGTAGTTGAATAAAGCAGTTATGTTAATTGCAGCAGCTGACAAGATCAGGAGATATAAATGGTGACACAGTAGTTACTGCTTCAAGTCCTGGAATAGTACAGAGTCTTCTAAATGAAATCCACAACCACTCAAGATAATCCACACAGTTTAACAATTTGCAGACTATGCAATACAAGTTGAATGCAAAGCCTATCAAGTAGGTCCCTCAGTATATACATCTTGGCTAGACACTGGGCCCAGAATCTAAAAGGAGGAAGAAAACTGGCCAGATGGAGTTTTGGAAACTACACAGCTAGTCCCTGAAACAAAAATCTTTTTCATACCATTATTCGTTTAGATAATGGATAATGAAACTAGGTGGTGCAGTGGAGAGAATGCTGGGCCAGAGTCAGGAAGACCTGAATTCAAATCTGACCTCAGCCACTTACTAGCTGTGTGACTCTGGACAAGTCACTTAACCCTGTTTGCCTTAGTTTCCTCATTTGTAAAATGAGCTGGAGAAGGAAATGGAGAACCACTCCAGTATCTCTGTCAAGAAAACCCCAAATGGGGGAAAGGAAAATCAGACATGATTGAAATGAAACCAACAACAACATCCATTTAGATCTACGTACTGGGAAAATGGGGTGGTAAAGTGAAGAGATGGCCTTGGAACTAGGAAGATCTAGGTTCAAGTCCCATTTCTGCCATGCACTCTTCTGTATGACCTATGGTAAGTTACTCAACCTCCAAATGCTCCAGGCAATTCTCTAAGACTCTTTCAGAGAAGGTGTCAGCCGTGAATCGGTAGAGGGAGTTTCCTCGTCCGAAAATTCCCTAAACTAATGAAGTCAGTGATCCAGTCTCTGCTTACTCAATTGCTAGTGCTATATGGCTATGAATCATGGAATACCCTTATCTCCAAAAAGTCAAAACTGCTGGGGGCTGGAAGGACAATGGAGAGCTAGGCAGTGAGTGTGAATAAATAGCAGTCTATTACATACAATCAAGGACTTGTAAAAGATACCTTATGATCTAAGAGAAATATGATCAGTTTCCTCCCTTCCTTGGCTGCAGAAGCCTCATCAACTCTGAAGGGCCAGAGGACAGGGATTTTTCACAAACACCCCAGCAGTATCCCTTTGACAGCAGTTACAATTGTCTATATCAGGAACCAGGACAGACTAGGCCAATGAGGAAAGGCAGACTCAAAGCTTAACAAAAAGCCCAAGGGGCAGCTAGGTGGCGCAGTGGATATAGCACCAGGTCTGGAGTCAGGAGGACCCGAGTTCAAATCCAGCCTCAGACCAGACACTTGACATTTACTAGTTGTGTGACCCTGGGCAAGTCACTTAACCCTGACTGCCTCACACACACACAAAAAAAAGCCCACCACCACCCCTAAGGGGGACATCCTGAGGACCTCAGGAGCTTTTTTTTTTTCACCCTTTTTGCCACATATGCTCTTTAAGCTCAACTCCCACAGACTACGTATGAACTGGCAAAATAGTGTTGTCATAGACTTTTGCTGGGATGTTATATACCAACTATACTACTGTAATAAACATGTTTTAAGAACTTGTTACATTAGGCTGACTGATGCCAACTGATAATCATGAGTGAAAGCACATCAGTGGGGATTCATAAGTTATAGCACTTAATCCCTCAAGGTTAGTCCTAGAAACCTTAAGGAAGATGGAGCCACCACAATCTTAGAAGTCAGTGTGAATGGAGGTTGGGAGAAAAGCTCCAGAACCTGTGAAACATCTCATATTTGTATTTGTCCCACAGGAATACATACCATAGGCATTTAAAAAGTGTTTACTGAGGGAGTGGAAAGAGGCTGGAGAATAATGGTTCTAAGTCTTTCGGAGGCATCAGCAACAGAGAGGTAATCACCATCTCTTCACATTCAACCAGTTTAGCAATTTCTCCAATTTCTTCCCCTCTTCCCACTCCTACTACAATCACTGGCCCAACACAAAAATGGAAGCATTAATTCTACCAACTCTTCCTCTAGCCTCTTTCTTCCTTGAGCTTCATAGTTAAAGAAAGGACCTAGTCCCAGCTCAAGCCACATCCGCCAACAAAAAAAAAGATGCTACAGATGGTGGTTAATTTAAGTTCATGGGTCATCACAGGTCTGATATGTGGCACCAAAAATATCCAAATGTTAAAGAAATAGTACAAATTGATCTTACAGGATACTTTATTCTCCTCCATCCCTACCCCCCATATATTCTTCATGTCTCTTCCTCATTGATCAAAAGTGACCTTTTTCAGGAAGCTGACCTAGATTAAACTCACCTTAACTTTACAATTCCTTCTGCATTCATGTAATTAAGCTTCCATTACTTGTATGTTTAAAAAAACCAAAACACCTGTTCTTTTCGTTTGTCAATTATTCTAAGTGAACTGTGTTCAGTTTTCACTGGATGGAAACACTCCTATGACAAGGTTCAGGGCTCCTTCTCCCTCTAGCAGAAAACTCTTTGGATAGGAAGCATTCAAATACAAATGGAGAATTTACTATTTCCTACCCCCTCCCCCACACACATACCCTCCACAGCTGGCTCCATTGGTCCCTATATGCATTCGGGGTTCACTTGAAGCAAGCTTGATAAGCTCATTCCACTCCTTCTGCCATTCCTCCTCTGTATACACAAGCCCAGACTATGACAAAAAGAGAAAGAAGTGATTAGGTGATTAGCATGTTGGCTCCCAAGGACCCTTCATCTATATCCTACTCAAATATCTTCATCTATATCCTTTCATTCACATTCAAAAGTGATTCATACTACAAATTCGACTCAACTATCCAAGTGAATGGTAAAGGGAGCTTTGCCAAAAATAATATAAACTGAAGAATAATACAAAAATGTTACTTATTGGTTTGGGGATGCCATATGTAATTATGGGAACAGATTTGCCATACTAGTTACTAGAAGAATATTCAAATAGCTTTGCACACATTTACTGGAAACACACACACACACACACACACACACACACACACACACACACACCCCATTCCTTGTTCCTCACTGTTACTTCCAGGTCTTCCCCTTCCAACATCACTCAGCAACTTCTCCTTCCACCTGTACTCCAAACATATTTATCAGAGAGCAGTTTTCTAGCCCTCTTCCCTCCCCCTACCCCTCCTATTCTCCTTCCTTTCTAAAGAAGTTCAGTACCTGACTTAGTCACAGAATCACAGAATTCAGAATTGGAAGAGACCTTGGCAACCATCTAATCCAATGCTTAACTGAAAGGAATTCCCATTAAAACATTATAATTTTTATTATTCTGAACCTGACAAATACAATCAGATAAGAACTTTTTAATATAAAGAGAACAGGAAGAGACCTATATGTGAAACCACAAATGCTTACTGTGTACAGCTTCCTTTAAAAAAAAGTATATGTAACAAATTCATCAGGTTAGTTTCAAATCTATACTTCTATATCCCTCTGTATTTCATTCTGTTTCTCTTCTGTACATTTCAAAAAATGCTTCACTGAGCCTCCATTCTTTTTTTTTTTGCATCCTTATTGCTTGCCCCCATCTATCCATTGAATTTTTTAAGCTTCCCTTATAAAAAACAAGCATAAGCAAACTAAACAAATTGACACACACTGGCCACATCTGAAAATGTAGATCTTACTCTATACCACCTCAGAGTCTATCAACTCTTGGAGGTAGGTAGCATGTTCCATCATTGGTTTTCTAGAATCCCAGTTAGTTACTGTATCAATCACAGTTAAGTCTTTCAAAGTCTTTTTTCTTTACATTATATAAATTGTTCCCCTAGTTCTGTTCACTACATTCTGCACCAATTCATAAAATGGCTTCCATGAAATTTTCCCTTTCATAGTTTCTTACAGAACTTATATTCCATTACATTCACATACTATAATTTGTTCAGCCATTCAGGCACTTACTATTTCTAGTTCTCTGCTGCAACAAATTCTAATATAAATATTTTTGTACACATATACATATGTATACATATTCTCCTTCTGATCTAGTAAAATAACTAGAAGTGGTATTGCTGCATTAAAGGGCAGACATGGGTCAGTGACTTTTTGGACATAATTCTAAATTACTTTTAGAAATGGCAAAACCAGTTCACAATATCTCACATGTCCCCGTCCTTCACTCACACCAAACCACCCTTATTCAGGCCTTCATCCTCTCTTACCCAGACTTTACAAAAGTCTCTTATCTGGTCTTCCTACTTTCTTCCTCTATGCATCCTCCACACAGCAACCAAAACAATATCACTAATGCATGGGATTCTAACCATATCATTATTCTCCTGCTTAAAACATTTCAATGGCTCCCTGTTGCCCCTAGAATAAAATATCAAGTCCTCTGTTCAACATTTAAAGCCATTCACTCCAACGCATCTACCCATTTTTTCACATTATTCCCCCTCACTCCATATTTCAACCTCAATGGTTCCTAAATATGACATCTACCTCTGTGCCTCTACATAGGCTATCCCCAATGCCTAGAACAATAATAGCTAATAACAGCTAATATTTATATAGTGTTTGCTATGTGCCAGGCACTGTGCTAAGCACTTTACAATTATTTTCTCATTTAATTCTCACAACCCAGGAGGTAAGGGCTATTATTATCCTCACATTTTACAGATGAGGACACTGAGGCAAACAGGAAGTAAAGTGACTTTTCCAGGGTCACACAGCTAGTAAGTGTCTAAGTACTTAGGTAATGCTGACTCCAAGACCAGCATTCTATATCCACCCCTGTGCCGAGCATATTCTCTTTTCTCATCTCTACACCACTGGAGTATCTAGCTTCTTTTAAGTTTATTTCATTTTTATCTTTGCATCACCAGCCTCCAGCATAGTGCCCCACACACAGCAGGCACCTAATAAATGTTACTGGATTGAATTAAATGATGAGAGAGGAAGTCACCCCAGAAACATTTCAAATATGGGGAACAAGCTTTTTTTCAATTAAAAACAAGCAAAAGGAAACAGACACCATTGGGTAATGGACAGAAAGCCTCCTTTATGATGTAGCTGACTTCTGCCCAGCAACAATGAGAGTCTTGCTAAATCTATATCTGCTTAGTAACAGGAGACCCTATCTGTTGACAAGAAAACCTTATTATTTTCTGTATATGTGACTTGCCCCTAATGTTTGTGCCCATATCCTTGAACATTGCAAGTTAAATTCCCTGCTTTGTGACCACATCCCTGAACTGTTTTGTAAAGTACTCAACACACCTGCGTCTCTTTTCCTGCCTCCCCTTCTTGTGGTTAACTGCCCACACAAGAGCATGCCCCCCTCATCCCTACCTGAGTGCCTAAAAAGTTGGGTATAAAAGTAAGCCCCAGTCTTATTCCAGGCTGCTAGTCTTCCCCCAGGACCCCCCACCACTTTTTTGATAATAAAGCTCTCTTGTCTAGGAGAACCTCTGCCCCCTGGATTCTTTCTGGACAACCCAACTCTGAATATCATCTACCTCTTCATTTAGAGTCAGAAAGACCTGGATTCAATTCCTAACTTCTGATATATACTAGCTGTGTGATGATGGGCTAAGACTAAAAGTTATAGACAATGCATCAGGGAAAGGAGTTTCCAAAAGAGAAACTACCTACAATTGATGAAATTATAAATCTGGGCAAAAAGAAGAAAAAAATTAAGCAAATAACCCATAATTAAAGCATATGTAGTTAATTATGCTACTAAAGAAAACCACATATAAAGGTTTTCCTTCTTCCCTAACTGGTAAATAGGTCAGCTAGGTGGCTCAGTGGATAGAATGCCAGACCCCGAGTCAGGAAGACTTATCTTCCTGAGTTCAAGTCTGGCTTCAGACACTAGTCGTGAGACAGTGGGCAAGTCACTTCACCTTGTCTCCTTCTGTTTCCTTATCTATCAAATGATCTGGAGAAGGAAACGGCAAAGCACTCCAGTACCTCTGCCAAGAAAACAAATGGGATCAACTAAGAGTCAGACAACTGAAATGACTAAACAACAACTAAATTTATCTTGGCCACTAGGGGGAGTATCTTCCCAGATTACTAGCTATCACTAACTTCTACTCATCCACTCCTTACAGCAGGAAAAGAAAGCCCTGTTATCAATTCAGAAGCTCAAATCCACAGGAAAAGTCAACTACCGAGAAATACATCAAGTAAAAATAATAACAATAATTTCAAGTGGCAATTTTTTTTGGAGAGGGGAAATACAAGTCACTCCATTCTTTAAACAGAGCCACAACAAACACTATTCAACAAACATAACAAATAAATAACATATTTCAGATATAAATTACAGGTAATTAAAAGAGAAAGGTGGAAAGGTGAGAGAAAAGAGAAACCAAAAGAAAGAAGAAAGGGAAACACAAAAAGGGACTGACAGACATAGATCAGAGTGAAAGAGAGTCAAAAGTGAGGAATAGAAATAAGAAAGATGGATGGGAGGATAAATAGAAAGACAGAGAGGTTTAATAAGTTCATACAAATGTACCAATTAAGAGAGGTGTTACATATAATCTGATGAGCCTATTGATTGGCTAAATATTTACCAAAGACCTGAAAAAGCGTAGTTCTAACTCACTGTACTAAATTTCGACAAAATAAAATCCTCTATGAGTTCAGGAAGTTCCTCACTGGGAGCTCTGTAAACCAAGGAAATCAGAGGTTTGGTTTACGCTCCCCAAAATTTTTTAACTGACCTTTCCAAAATTCGTTATTTTTCACATAAGTTTTAGAAACATGAGTGTTCCAAAAATCCTTTCTCATTTTTCATAGAAAAAAAAAACCTTTACTTATCACCTCCCTGAAAAGTAGAAACTGTCATGTCTCATTTTACAGAGGGAAAGGTTATCTACTTTCATGAAATAAAATCAATAATTTGTTTCACATCAGTGAGAACTTAAAGCTGTTTTATAGCTACGGGCATAAATGACACCATCTGTTAGACACTCAATCAACAAGCATCTGAGCACCTACAATGTGCAAAGGGCACAGTGCCAAATATTCTGTAGATGGCGGTTCTTGTCTCCTGCCCTATCCTCCAAGAATCTCTGTCTTATGGAGTAATCTGAATTTTATTCACTTTTGAAGGTAGCAAAAATACAATAGTAGCAGAATGAGAACCTAGAAAGTTCTACCTTAGGGGATTCTACCTAGATAACACTGGAAGGTTTTCCCATTTAGATTCTCCTACCTCCTTATTCTGCTGTGTTTGCTGCCACCTCCAACGCCGTCTCAGTGCCTCCTTCTCTACTCCCTTCTCCATCAGTGAGTAAAGTGCCTTACGTAGCATTAGGTCCCGATCATGGAAACCCCACATCCCTAAAGAAGGAGAGAACTTGAGAAGGAAAAATGGCAATGGCAAGCACTGGAGCAAAGAGGGCTGAGCCTCAAGTTCAGAGAATAAGTGAATAGACCAGAGAACTGTGTTCCTCCTGACCTCTGCCCAATCCATTTCAGGTTGCTACAACTCCCAGCCACCATGTTTCAAGGAGGGGAAAATCCTAATTTACTGGCCTGAAACTTTTAGAAGGGCTCTATCTATACAAACCCCTATTAAGGAATCCTCAAAACTAAACAAAGTCTAGCACACTAAAACAAAAATCAGAAAAACTCATCTTAAAAGTACTCCCTCTATACATAACCAATATTTACGCTGTCCTAGAGTCGTGGGTGTGTAAAAATTTGGGCTGTAGCTATTTCCTGATGCACTAAAGTGAGGTAACTCTAAGCAGAACATAGCAGGATAAGAAGAACGTAAAGAAATATAGTTTTACACAGATCTATGGACTGCTGGGAAACCACAGAAGAAGAAAGGATAGGCGGGTCATGCAGCCATAAGAGATGGGGAAGATGAGGGAGGGACAGAAAACAGTTCTTTGGACAGATGAAGACTACCAAGAGCTGCAAGCAGAGGCTGCTATTTTAACTCCAAGAATCATCTTTATGGATTCACAATGAAGTGATGACTACTGATTATGCATATGAAAAAAGAAGAAAAGATAGACATACTTTTCATCCTGAGTAGTATGAAAGGTTGAGATATGAAAGGGGGTGACAGTTTAATGCAGATATGCTCCCTAGCGGAGCCTACACTGTGCCTGCTTTCTTTCTACTGTCTCTGTTCCCTGACCTGGCTGGCTCAGCACTGACACATATCTCACCTAAAAGTCAAGTGATGATACACACAGGAGGTCACACTTAATGGATCCCCTCTCGGCATGGAGGACATTCTAGAATTGTTCAAATGGACTTCCTTCATATCTCAGAAATTCAGCTGCATCTTTCGACAAAAATATCATCTGCCCTTGGGCTCTACAGTTTTCCTTCCTGTTCCCCAAACCAGAAATCTTGGAGAAGGTCAAAGAAACCAGGCCAGGACTTACCAAGTGAGGCTGCATGCAGGAGGCAATTTCCATCTCCTGTTGTTGCCAGAGGCAGAAGTCTTTGGCAGGTAGGGTCCACACTTACCCACCAGTTTAGACGCCCTACAGAAACATTGAGGATGGCAAGAAATGGACAAAGTAGGTTAAATAATCATCCTTTCCACCAAGCCCTGAGTTTTTGTTCCTGCCAAAATGACTCAAATTAAAATGTGAATAATCCCACCAAGCATGGATCACTTGTTTACTTTTAAATTCCTCAGGAGTCAGTCTGAAGCAATGAGGCTCAATGGTTAGAGATAAATGCTGATAAGGCTAAGGCTGCAGGCTCATAGCCTTGATGTTGTATGGCCAGAGACAGCATCTTTACCTTACTCAGCTCCCTGGCAAATATAGACTATTTGCTGTAAGATGGATCAGCAAGTGTCCTAACAATGTCAAAAAAAAAACCCTTTTCTTTTTCTTAAAATTTTTTATTGTTATCTTTTGTTTTTACATCATCTTCATTCCCCAATACGTCCCTCCTTCCTGTCCTAAAGATTGTAACAAAGACTAAAAGAGGAAAAAAACAGTTCATCAGAACTAATGAACACATCAACAAAGTCCAACATGAATATGCAGCACCCCACAACTCCAGGCCCCTCTCCCCTGCAAAAAGATGAAAGGAGGAGCACTCTCATGGTGGTACCACTTTCATACATGACATATATGGCAGCATATCATCACATACATACAATTATTAGAATACCAAATTCTACAAACCAACCAGAAAAACCAGTGTCATTGCTTTATATTTAATCCACAGAAAACATAACCTAATTTTGTGGATTATTCACAGGTATTTCTAATACATAACTGGAATTACCCTCCCCCCAAACTCAGCACACTCCCAGCTGCCTCTCCCCACCATACAAAGCTAATTTTAAGAATGACCTAAGTCATACATAATTAGGAAAGTAAATCTGTTTGTTGAGAAAAAAATCATAGCTACAATGATCATTAGGGGATTCCGATGAGTTCTCTGTCACAATTTCTCCTTTCCACTAGCATGGGTAATTGAGAGTTAATCATACTCAGCTGGTATTCATTTTGTACACTGCTTTGTAAGCACTTCTAAGGCTCTCCCTTGTGTGTTGACTAAAGGCTTCTAGAGAACACAATGTTTGTCTCCATCTTCCTCTATTCACTCCGAAACACTGAGGACTAAATTTTGTACACTATTGAGTGTACAAGGCAACATTCAATAGGTAGTGTCTGGTTGCCTATAAACTCTGAATGTGATTAAATTGCACCTTATGCACCGAAACTGGAGGCTGTAGGCCTAATCTTTAGATAACACATCAGCCCTGTGAAAGGAACGGTGAAAGGAACAAAATGGATTTAGAGGCCCCCCCTTGCTGACCTGCTTGTTCCAGGGCAACCAACATGGACTGTTCAATGAGGTCTCTCTCAATGAAGTTGCGGAAATCTTCAGTGAATACAGTGAGGTCTGGAAGCTGGAAGGCACATATGGGCATCTCCAGAGGGTGTTCACTGCTCCCCCCACTCCCACCACTTGAGGAGACATGGGAACGGGCTAGCGAAACGATGCTGGAGCTGGCATGAGAGATGCCCCGGGACAAGCGTTTCTCTGCAAAAAGAAATGGATCCCCTTTAGAATGTAAAACCTCACTCCCTAACCAGAAAAAGTACAAATGCTATTAGAAGCGATGGTCTTTCCACTGAGATTCCAATCAGAAAGAACCGTTATTCTCATAGACTTAAATAGAACTTCAAAATTCCCCCTTCCATACGCCAAATGGGATGGGGGGGGGTGTGAAGATACAGAATAACAGGTGCAGACCACCCCTCTGACAAAACAGGAATACAACCCCAGGACCTGGAACCTTGAAGATAACACCAACAAAATGACCAAATACTCATTCTTTCCCCTTTAGATCTGAACTTGCCTAGGTCTTTCCTTCCCTAAGATTGGGTCCTTCCCACTTCCACTCCCCACCCACAAGGTCACTGGCCATTCGAAGACACAGGTGGAGTAGAACCTTTGGACCTCAATGTGGAGTTTCTTTTAGACAGAAGATTATTTAAGCAATAAAGTCCTGAGGATAATTAGAGAAGAATTTTCATTTGGGGAAAGAAAATAACTGATAGCCTTACTCAAAAACTTGTCTGACTAACCCTAGCTCACTTTATTCACTTCATTCACCACACTACTCCCAAGTACCTGTTTGTAACAGCAATTATGTACATAGTCAACTCTTGATCATATATTTTAATGCAGGAAAGCAATATTATGTGTAATCCAAAAAATTATTACGTGGCTTTTGTATAAATTACATGATTGTTTTAATCCAACAGATTTACCTAATTACATGCTATTACAATTAATTTTAATTCCCTGAACAAACATAGGCAAAAAGGCGATACGAAACAGAACTGCTATGAGTGGCAAGGAAAAAAAAGGCTTTTGTCAAAAATGTGCCATAATATGCTCTTATAGTACCTTAAAGCTGTTGGAATTCTCTGGATTTTTTTCCATCCTGTGTATCCTATCTTGACCATTAGCTCAAGTTCTAAATCAAGTTCAGGGATTATATTTCTTCCTTTCTCTCCTCTCCCATAGAGCTCAAAATAGAGCCCCAAATACAGGCACCACCTAAAATGGCTGAAATACACTGACTTTGACTGAGAGACCCTCTATAGGCTGAATGCATTAAGGCTTTCTTGCTTAGAAGACAGGATAACAACCAGAGGGCTCTGGTGGCTACTGACAAAATGCGAAACATATTGCTAAATACCCTGTTTCCAATTCCTCCCTTCCCCTCCCCTTCTCCTTCTGCATACCCCTGTACCTTGGATAATGTCATCCTGACGATGAAGGGTGGGCCGGGGGACGAGTGGGCTCCTTTTCAGGAAGTCCCTTCTCAGGGGGTCTGGGGCCACCACGACCCTCACTGAAGGGTGGGGGCAGGTTCCCAGCATGGACCTGACGAAGCTGTTCAAAATCACTGAGGGCTGCACTTACATCCCAATTTTTTCCTGGTCAAGAGACAACACAGAGGGAAAACTGATCACCTGGGAATCAAATAAACAGGAGAAAGGCATGGAAGAAAGTGCTAGAGGCCAACACATACAGGGATGAAAGAATATTCCTTTGCTTAGAACGCTTATTAGCATTAATGTGCACATTTTACAAGATTTAGGTTGCATGTATTGATTTACTTCACAAAGGTCATATTAAACATAATTTTACAGAGTTTATATTATCTGGAAATATATGGTTTCCCACAAAACACTGGGCCTAGAAGAGTATACACACTCCTTGTTCCTCACTCTACTTTTCAGATTGTCCCTTTGCTACAAAGGACTCGGCAACCTCTCTTCCTCTGAGGTTTCCTCCATCTATCTTTACCACACAGATGAAAGCTTTGTCAAAGTCATCTTTCAACTTTCATGTTGTTGTCCTTTCTTTATCATGAAGTCTCATACCTGGGTCATAGCTTTCCTCCTTCACCTCACCTCCTGCCCTCATACTTGGGAGACTTCAAAAGTTGATGTCCTCTCAAACACACTGCACCCCCTCCCCAATTCATTAACCTTCTAAGAATCAATTACCTCCATCTTAACACCTCAGCCATATATAGGTGTGGAAACATCTCCCATGACTGTTATGCCTCTATGATCTGAAATTCTGAAATTACTTTCTCCATTAACAATCTCCTATCCTTCTCTCTCTGCTTCACTCCAAAGCCCATTTTTCATCCTAATCATGATCCATTCCTGTCTTCCCAGTCCATCACCTCTCCTCTAGCCTCAATATCCTTGACAATGCCACCATACCATACATTAAGGTCAGTTACCCTTTAAATCTGACTTCCCAAACCCAAACCTTGCATCACCTCCATCATCTGCCTTCTCTACTGCTACTCACATGATCCTAAATGCTACTGAAGAAAGGAATGCAACCACACCATATGAATTCAAGATAAACTTAAGCTATTTAATCTTAACTGTGCCCTCATTACCATATGACAAAATAAAAGCTTCATTCTTCCTTAATTGACTTTCTATTATACTATTCACAGCAGCTGTTCCAAATCTTTTTTTCTTCTCTAATATCCAATGTCATATTCTCCCTGCTCCTTCTCAGCAGAAGGCCTGACTTCCTACTTTAATAAAAAACTCAGTCAGTCAATAAGTATTTATTAAGTGCTCACCACTGCAAGACACTGTGCTTAGCACTGGGAACACAAAGAAAGGCAAAATATACATACACACACACACACACACACACACACACACACACACACACACACATTTAGTTCCAGCTCTCAGCAAGTTCACATCCTAAAGGGAGAAATGTAAATAACTAGATACATACAAGAAAGAAACAGAGTAAACGGAAGGTAATCTAAAATTGGAAGTCATTAACTGCTGGGAAGAACAGGAAAGGCTTACAGCAGAAGGTGAGATGAGCTGAATCTTGAAGAAAGTCAGTTTAACTAAGAGGCACGGTGAGGAGGCAGAGCATTCCAGACATGGGTGTAACTAGCGCAAAGGCACAGAAATGAGAGATGAATTTTAGGTTTGAGAATCCGCAAGTAGATCAGTGTAGCTAGACTGCAAAGTAAGGTGTAAAAAGTCCAGAAAGGCAGAAAGGAACCAGGTTAAGAAGAGCTTTAAATGTCAAAGACAGAATTTATTTTTAACTCTAGAGCTCATCTGACTTTGTCAGACCTGTGATTTTGAAAAATCATCTTGACAACTACATGGAAGATGAACTGAAAAAGGAAGAAACCTGAAAGAAAACCACCTGGAAGGATATTCCAATAATCCTGGAGATAAGTGAAAAGGGTCTTAAATAGGGTGGTGACTATATGAGTAGAAATGAGTTATGTATATGGGAGATATGAAGGTAGAAGTGATAGGACCTTACAACAAATGTGGATGAGAATAAGTGAGAAGTCAAAAATGACACCAAGTTTGCCAGCCCAGATAACTTGGAAGATGGTGGTCCCCTTCTCCCATTGATGAGATCTTCCTAAAGCCTATATTTTGGGGAAAGGCCCAAACCAGTCAACCCTGATTCTCCAAACTTGTCCAACATGCCTCAGAAGTCTTCTGATTCTACTCCTTCAGTCCCTTGTCCCACTGGAAAGTTCTTCCTAGAACCTCCATTTTGGGGAATGGCCCAGACTAGCCATCCCTTATTCTCTAGACTTATCCCACTACACCCTCAACTGGTCACCAACCTGTTTTTCAGATCTCCTTTTATTTGTCTCTTTCACCCATCAGAATGTAAGTTCCTTGAGGGCAGGGACTTTCTTTTTGCTTGTATTTGTATCCCCAGCACTTAGCACAGTGCCTGGCACAATAAGCAATTAATAAGTGCTAGTTGACTGCCAGTATTAGGAAAGTGTAGAAAAGAGAGGGCTTGGGAGGAAAGATAATGTTTTGGACATACTGAGTTTAAGATGCTTATGGAACATCCAGTTTGAAATGTCTAAGAGGCACGAGCAATACAGATCTAAGAATCATGTGCATAGAGACTGAACTCATGGGGCTAATGAGATCGTCTAGTAAGACAAGCTAGAACAGTGGTGTCAAACTCAAATAATTTTTCTGAACCTCTCCCCACCCCCTAATATATTCCTCTTTCCTTCTCTTTCCATTCTTCTTTTTAAGATCATCAAGATATACAACAATCAATAAATACTAATCATTAAGCTGGTACTATGTGCGAGGCACTACGCTAGGGGACGCAAATAAGAAAAAAAAGTCACTGCCCTCAAAGAGGTTACAATCAAGGAAGACAATACACAAAAGAAAGCTAACAAGGGGAGAGGGATGGGTACCCTACATGGGGATACGGTGGAGAAATCAGTCAGAGAAGTCTCAAAATAGTGCAGCCAGGTGACAAATGAGGAGAACCACTCCTTAGCCTTCTGTCTAGACTCCCTCTACACCTCTTGATGATGATAGGGATCAGAGGGGACACATGTATCATCCAATACTAAAATGCAAACAGTTTATCCTTGTTTAACCACTTTTGACTGTTTACTTTTGTGTTTGTCTTGATTCCTGTGTTTGCCCTTCAACATTTATATAATGATCTATTCTTTTCATCATGAATGCTTGGAAGTCCTCTATTTCATTAAAGATCCATTTCCCCCCTCTTTAGGATTATGCTGAGTTTTTCTGGGTACTTTCTTAAATATAAGCCTACTATGTTCTTTGTTTTCTGGAATATCTATTCCAAACTTTCTGCTCCTTTACTGTGATGGCTGCCAAATCTCATATAATCCTGATGACAGCTCCTTGGTCATATAATTCTTTCTTCGTGGCTACTTGCTGTATTTTTCATTTGACCAGAAAGCTTTGGACTTTGGCTACAATTTTCTGGGAGTTTTTTGAGGTTTCTTTCAAGAGGTAACAGTTGGATTTTTTCTATTTCCATTTTGCCCTCTGGTTCTAAGAGATGTGAACAGTTTTCTTTAGTCATCTCTTTGAAATATAATATCTAGGAATTTGGGGGGGCATGGCTTTCAGAGAGTTCAATAATTCTTAAATTATATCTTCCTAATCTGTTTTACAGGTCAGTACTTTTTGCTGTGGAATACCTTATCTTTTATTCTACTTTTGTTCAGTCTTTTGACTTTGTTTTAAATATTTTTTTTCTCATAGAGTCATTAGTTTCTATTTGGTTTACTCCAATTTTCAGGTATTTGGTTGCTCCAGCAAGTTTTTGTACTTCTTGTACCAAGCTACCAATTCCCTTTCCAATTCTTTCTTCCATAGCTCTCATCTCCTTTCCATTTTTCCCTCCAGTCCTCTTATTTAATTTATAAAAACATCTTCAATCATTAAAAAAAACAACCCTTACTTTATCTCTTCCAGGAATTCTATTTGAATTTGCAACTCAAGTTGTGCTCTTCTTTGAGGCTTTGCTTGTAGATACGTTTCGGAGTCATTGTCTTCTTCAGGATGTCTTGAGTATCTTTGATGCAATAACAGCTTCTTATGAAAGGATTCTTATTTTTTTTTTCTGCTCAATCTTCCAGCCTACTTTCTGACTTCAGATATAATGCTGAAGGCTCCTCACATTCCTGCGTTTGTCCTGTCGCTGCTTTCTTAGGATACTAAATGTACTGTTTACGGATCTCAGCAACACCTCAGGCTGAGGACCGGCAAGCTTTTCATGTTTAGTGTTGCCAAAATAGTCTGATCCAGGACAAAGTCTGATTTTTACTCCCCTGATCTGAACTCTACAAGTTCCTAACCTGGATTTGGGTCTGAACAATAGGCCTGTAGGCTTGCCCTATTTGGGATTTCATTAGACTACTGCTGGATTTAGCCAGCCTGCTAGATAGCTCCATTGATTCCATTGAATCAACCAGGCTGCACTTTGGTCTAAGATTCCAGTCTTGGTCATTTCTATATAGGCTTCAGACTGGTCTAGTAGCTGGATCTGTGGCCTCTCTCCTCTATAAGATCAAAGCCACACAGCTGCTGCTTGCTTCTTAACTTGCTCCTTAATGGGGGTACCACAGCTTAGGGCCCTCACTCTGAAATACTACTCTTAGGTCCCCTCCTCAGTCTGCCCAGGATCTATGGCCTGGAACTGCAATAAAGATGCCAGTTGGAACCTATTCCTGAACCTTAAGTTTAAGACCCTCTATATCTCGGAAATGGGACCTCTTCTTGCCCTGCTGTCCCGTGTCTACGTGTCTGGAATATTCTGTACTGAGTACTCCTGGGCAAACCTCATACCCAGTGTTCACAGACCTGTCTGTCTCCCTGTGCTGATCTGGGCTACAAAAATAACTCACTGTGTTTTTTTTTCTTGGATTTCCTAATCAGGATTCAGTTTGGTGAGTTTTCTAGATCTGTTTACATAGATCTGTTACACAAAGATAAGCAATACATAACAAGTAATATCAAAGTAATTTAGGAAAGAATACTAACAAGGGGGAGGTTATCAGTAAAAGTTTTATTTAGAAGACCACACTTGAGTAGGAGCTTTGAAGTAACTAGGAGATTGTGGAAGGCAAAGGTAGGGGAGAGGGAGAGGGAGAGGGAGAAGGGGGGGGGGGGAGAGAGAGAGAGGAGAGAGAGAGAGAGAGGAGAGAGAGGAGAGAGAGAGAGAGAGAGACAGACAGAGAGACAGAGAGAGAGACAGAGAGACAGAGAGACAGAGAGAGAGACAGAGAGAGAGACAGAGAGAGAGACAGAGAGACAGAGAGAGAGACAGAGAGAGAGACAGAGAGACAGAGAGAGAGACAGAGAGAGAGACAGAGAGAGAGACAGAGAGACAGAGAGAGAGACAGAGAGACAGAGAGAGAGACAGAGAGAGAGACAGAGAGAGAGACAGAGAGAGAGACAGAGAGACAGAGAGACACAGAGAGAGACACAGAGAGAGACACAGAGAGAGACACAGAGAGAGACACAGAGAGAGAGAGAGAGAGACACAGAGAGAGAGAGAGAGACACAGAGAGAGAGAGACAGAGACAGAGACAGAGAGAGAGAGAGAGAGAGAGAGAGAGAAGAGAGAGAGAGAGAGAGAGAGAAGAGAGAGAGAGAGAGAGAGAGAGAGAGAGAGAGAGAAGACCCTATTTGTAGAAAAATATTTATAGCAGCTCTTTTTTGGTAGCCAAGAACTGAAAATTGATAGGATATCCATCAACTGGGAAATGGCTGAACAAGTTGTCCTATATGACTGCAATGGAATATCATTGTATTATAAGAAATGACTAGCAGGATGCTTTCAAAAAACCTAGAAAGACTTAAATGAACTGATGAAAAGTGAAATGAGCAGAACCAGGAGAACACTATACAAAGTAACAGCAATATTGTACAATGAAAAACTGTGAATGACTTAGCTATCCTCAGCAATACAATGATCCAAGACCATCCCAAATGACATGATAAAAAAAAATGCTATCTGCCCCCAGAAAAAGAACTATTGGCATCTAAATATAGATTGAAACATTCTATTTTTTACTTTCTTTCGTTCTTTCATTCTTTTTTGGTTCAAGTTTTCTTCCACAAAATGACAATATGGAAATGTTACACATGATTATACATGTATAACCTATATCAAATTGCTTATTACTTCAGGGAGGGAAAAAAGAGAGAGGAAGAGGGAAGGAAGGATAGAATTTGGAACTCTAAACTTAAAAAACCAAAATATAATGGGGGGGGAGATAAATTTTTTTTTTAAATTGTAAAAAGGAATATCACTTTGGCAGCTGTGGAGAATGAATGGAAAAAAGGAAAGACTGGAGACAAGAAGAATAATTAGGAGGCTATTACAGCATCTACTTACTTCAACAAGCAGAGCATGAAAGTAGGAAACGGTCTTGTGAGTAAAGAAAAGGGAATAGTGGCAAGAGCTATTACATGGAACAGTATCTGAAACCACATGGCCTTTCTCACATCCAGAAAGGACCTAACACCAGCCAAGGACTGGAAAGAATAACAGTGGGTCATAAAATTGGAAAATAATTTCAGATTTCACCACACAAAAAAAAGCAATAGGACTTAAAATAAAATCTTCAGTCCTTTATCTTGGGAAAGATCTTCCATTGCTCATTTTGCCACGTAACAAGGAAGGCTGATAGGATTTTGGCAAAAATGCACTGACATTTATTTTTCAGAAACTGAGGTACTTGAGAATAAACCAAGAGTCTCTGTTAAAAGACTTAGCAACTGCCTTAATATAGAGTGGTGCCATGCTCATGCAGGCTGGGGTCAGCTCAAGTACCTGCAAAGGCTGCTTATTAAACAGGTTAAGCAGTATTCTAAAGAGGAAAAAAAAAGTCCTTTATCCTTAGCAGTTTGTTCAAACCTGTTGGTACCTGAGTGGTGACTGTCAGGCTTTGCCTGGAAGCAGAAAGTACCTAGAGGCTCCCTGAAAAAAGGCAAAGGTTAGTGGCCATAGTTAAGGAGGCCACTTCAGAATGGCCAGAAAAGGACCATAAGAGTCTATAATTTGATTTCAAACAAATTAAAATAGAACTGAAGATCAAACAAATTCAAAGGCCTTGGGCTATGGGGAAATACCCAATGAGAAAGTACTTAATGAATCCTCACAAGTGAAACCCTATCTCCATCCCCCTCACCCATACATATAAGTTATTCTCCCTTTCAGAGAACTTTAGTCTAACTCAGACAGAAGAGGCCAGCACTGGTAACAGGATGATTGTCCCAAAAGACAAGGTAGGGAAAAGGATTCTTAAAGGTACACCCCAAGACTGCTGGGAGATGCAAAACATATTCTCCATTCAAGTATGGGCCACCAGTCAGGTCCCACCAAAGTTGAAGGAATGTCAAAGCAAGGTAATGCAAAATTAAATTCAGGAGGAGCAAACGTGTCTGTGGCTATCTCACCTTTTTCTTAATTTTTTTTTTTGACTGAGCTGAGGAGACTGGATCTGACAGAGATTAACCTACAGTAAATCCTACACCTAACCTCTCTTTGGTACTCAACAAATAGCTTCTCTCACAGGTCACTGGACAGATACTAAATTGTCTAATGGAGTTAATCCTATCTCTCTTAGTGATCTAACAAATTGCCATTGAATAATCAGTCAATAAAAGCTTTCTGGCCAACATGGCTGCTTGAACAGAGAGGCAGGCTGCCTAGCTCTTCCACACCCTGCTTCAGCAAAAAACTAGAATTCCAATCAGACCAAATAATGATCAAGAAACCCAATGAGAATTAGTCAGTAAAAAAGAACTTAAGAACTTCTGAAAGAGGGAAGTTGGGAGCAAAGGGGAGGAGGGGAAGAAGATAATGAGTTCTGCTTTGGATACTCTTTAACCTAATCTTTTTGCTTTATTATGTGTCACCATCAACATCAAAAGGCCTTTATTTTGCAAGTCAAAGAATCATAAAGAATTCTACAGTCATAAATCAATCAATCAACAAGCAACTATTAAGTATCTAGTTTATGTGCCAGGCACTATACTAGATGCTGAGAACATAAAGACAAAAACGAAACAGGCTCTGCCCTCAAGGAGCTTATACTCTATTGGGAGATACATGTTTATAAAGAAGTATATACAAAATAAATACAAGATACATTTAAAAGGGTGAAGAGAAAGCTGGCAGCTAAGATCAGGAAAGGTTGTGAATAGGTATGATTTGAGCAAAGTTCTGAAGGACACAAGGGATTCTGAGAAGCAGAGGTGAGGTGGCAGTGCATTCCAGACATCAGGGAGAGCCAGTGCAAATACTCAGAAATAAGAAATAGGGAAGAATGCATGAGGAATGGCAAGAAGCCCAGTTTGGCTGGCTCTACAATGAAGAAAATTGGAAAGGATCATTGAGGACAAGTTGTGAAAGGCTAAACAAAGGAATTTATATTTGGATCCTATAGGCAAAAGGAAGCCATTGGGGTTTATTGAGTAAAGGACTGACATGATCAGATGTTATTTTAGAAAAATCACTTCGGCAGTTTAGTGGAGAATGGATTGAGAGGAGGAGAGACTTTCAGCAAGGAGACCAATTAGGAGGATACTGAAATAGTCTAGGTGAGAAGTAACAAACAGTTCAGACCAGGGTAGTGGCTATATGAATGAAGAGAAGGGAAGAGAATAAAGAACATAATGATTCTTGCGCTACAGGAACTTATAATCTAGGACAGTCACATGGGCATGCAGACAACAAAATTCAACTATGAACCAACACATTCTACAATTACCCACACTAATTATGGCAGAAGAGAAGAGTAAGGCATAATGGCATGAAAAATGCCAAAGAATGAATAATCAAAATTATGTTTCAAGATACATTAAATATATTTTCTCAGGAGATTTGCCTTTTTTAATTATGTTATTTTTAGGCTAATACAACATAATGACTTGAAGCAGAAGGGGGCAACTCAATAATGTGTTTGATGATAGTAGGAAAGCAACTTTTCATTTTAAAATTATGGTTAGTAATGAACAAGAAGAATGTGATGATGACTTTATCGACAGTAAACTATCATATGCCAATCCTTCTGCCACCTTCAAATTTCACAAACCAGTCCAGCAATTAAAAAAAAAAAACAACCTTTCTCAATTCCTCACCTTCTAAAAGATCTCGGGCCAATCCTGGTTCTGCTCCCGTGGAACGGACAAAATCTGACAAGACAGCATCCATGTCCAGGGTCATGTGATCATGAAACCCTCTTAGGCAGCTGGATGAAGGTGGAACTTAGAGCAAAACTCAGGCTTCCACCTAACAAGAAAATAAATGTACATATTTCAAATTTCACTTTAAAACAATTAACCCAACCCAAGGAATTTTGCAAATGGGGAAAAACTATGCCAGCCCATCCACACCTGCAGATTTTAAAGTTTAAAATTTAATTTGGGATATAAATTTAATTCTGCTAACTCATTTCCAATACAGGAATGCTACTTTGCTTTTTATTTCCCCCAAAAGTTATTTTGACAGTCAACTCCTGAGTGTGTCGATGAAGGTACACACTGGCACAAAGTACGCTGATAGCTCAATCATAAAAAACTTCAGAGACAGGCTTTAGGTCTACCTCTAAAGGGAGGTCTTCATTAGACTTTAGGTAATGAAAGCAGAGATGTGCAGAACTGATTTTAAAACTATTTAAAGAAAACTTAACGAGCAACTTTTGAAAAGCTGAAAATAGGGAATGCAAAGGTTTATGACAAAAGGGATTCAGCCTATTACTTTGTGAAAGCAATCCATACCCAATCCATTCAAACAATTCCACCTGAAAGATACCTTTTATAACAGACCAATCTTCTACAGAAACTATGTCTTTGACCACATTTCTCCAAGGTTAACAACCTACTCCATGAAGGCAGCAGTAATACAGTGAGAAGCAAACCTCTGATCCCTTCCTACCACCTCTGGCAGCTTTTCCAATTCCCTGTAGAAGGTACCTAGTTCATCAGGTTGCCCTCACCTCCTGTGCCCTCAATCCCCATTTCCTAATAATCTGTTTGGAGAAAGTCAAAACAAAAATCCTCAAAGGCAAAAGGTGAGACTCCCTTCAGAAAAATACCTCCCACTTATCTCAGAATCCCGGGAGGACAGAAATGCTTTAACTCAGAACTAATCTTTTCTATTCACAGCTTCCGGTTACCACTCTTAAAACTCCCCCCACTCCCTTGCTGCCTGTTTAGGGCCCTGCCCAAATCCTGATTTTCCACATTCCTCAGGAATGTTTTGACCAGACCTGTGATTTCATCAGTGTAGGGAAGCTCCCGGCGAGGAACTTCTACCAACACGTTCCAGCACCTGCTCTGCAACTTGACCTGTCCAGAGCTGCAAAGCCAGTATGCAGTCAGAAGCAGCACTTGAATTCAGGTCTTCCAGATTCCTAAGTTATCTCTCTAGCTATTACTGCACATTCCTTTTCTCTTCTAAGGAATACTAGGCCAGATATACAGCAAAGGACTGAGGTTACTGGAGTACAGGTGCTATTTTCAAAGCACAGGTTTAACTACTTGGTTACAAAATATTTCCGGGAGAGGAGGGGGAGAGAGAAGGGCAGTTAGGGGATTCCCATAAATAAAAGACTGAATTCCAGTTGAAGAGATTTCCATTTAACCTCATACTATGGCAGGATTTCCCCATTCACAATGCCAATTAAGGCAACTCTAGAGGATCTATACCAGTGGAAGGGAAATAAACTGCACTACAGATAATTTCAAACAGCAGAAAGTCCAAAAGCCATTTTATGCCAATTTTACCTTGTCCTAATTAATACAGGAAGGTGAAAAGGTATTTTGATATTATATAGCTTATTAAGATTTTTATGTTGTTTTTTCTGTGATCTCCTGTCCTTCTAATTATGGCTCCCCCGACACCTGACCCAAGTAGAGACCTAAGGCTGGGGATGAGCAAGTACACGGGCAAAGAAAAGGTGTCTCCAGATAACTAAGCCTAGGACATTCCTATTACTACAGACTTATCAATAAGTCAGAAGCAGGAAGGCCCAGAAACAGTCCCTGATAAGACCACCAAGGATGGGGCTTAAACAGTAAATGAAAAGACTTAGTACTGGGTGGCATAATGGTTGAATCAGATCAGAGAGAGGGTAGTATGTGAAATAACTGGATCTTTTTCTCTATTCATCTGCATGGAAAACCAGGTCTAAGTGAAAAGATCTATATAACTTTGTAACTTTCCTTTTTCATTTACTAGTGCACCTCTTATGGGATTTCCAGTAGTTTTGAGGAACAAACTCCTTTTTAAAGAAATAAAAAAGAAGAAATATATGTTGATGTCAGGGACTACTTATAGTTAAAAGACTGGGTTCTTCTGCAAGCCAATACATGAAACCCAGTACTGAGTGATAGGAAATAAAGAAGGAAGAATAGAAAGTTCACAGCAAATGGCCTCAATTTTTTTCTGTAAAATATGACATAAGGCTCTCAGCTGAGAGAGTGAGGGGAGGAGGAGCCATGCAAATTAAAACAATTCTAAGGTACCATTTCACACCCATCAAACTGGCAAAGTTGACAAGGAAAATGACAAATCCTGGAGAGACTGTGGGAGAAAAGGTATACAAACATGCTGCTGATATAACTGTGAACTAGTTCAGCTATTCTGGAAAGCAATTTGGAATTAAGCTCCAAAAAGCTATTAAACTGTGTTTACCCTTTGATCCAGACCCTACTATGTCAATACCCACAAAGAGACCAGACAAAGAAGAAAAGGATCCACATGTACAAAAATTTATAGCTGCTTTTTTTCTGGTGGCAAAGAATTGGAAAGTGAAGGGTTACCCATCAATCGGAGAATGGCTAAACAAGTTATGGTATACGAATGTGATAGAATATTACTGTGCTACAAGAAATTAAGAGGACGGTTTCAGAGAAATGTGGAAAGGCTTCTATGAACTGATACAAAGTGAACAATTTGTGTGACAATAACATTATAAAGACAATTTTGAAAGGCTTAGGGACTTTGTTCAAAGGCGATTAGGAATTAGGCTCCAAAAAGCTATTAAACTGTGTATACCCTTTGACCCAGAGATACCACTACTAGGTCAATACCCACAAAGAGACCAAAGAAAGAGGAAAAGGATATAACCATGGCTATATCACCCTAAATGGCTTGTTACTCTAATTTCTAAGCCTCAGCTTAGAGGGCCTGCAGAGTAGTCAGTGAGCCCATCTTTTCCTCAGTCTCATTACCCACAATACTGATCACAAAAAACAGCCTAAAGTCTATAATGACTCCAGTCATTTCCAGTATCAAGTTCCAGCTCTTCATCATAGGCTTCAAGTGTCCTCTCCTTATCTTCCTATCCTTATTTCATACTCTGTTGCTCTTCTATCTCTACGATTTTGCACTCACTACTACCCTACCTAGAATGTTCTTATTGCCTCCTTTCAAAACAAGCACTGCCTGAATCTCCTCAAATGGAGTCTGTGTTGACAAATATATACTCCAACAACACAGGTACACTTAAGTATGTGTTTTTTATAGCTACGTTAATTTATGTATTTTTCCCATAAATATAGTGTACTAGTTCAGTTGCATCTGCTTTTCTAGGGCTTAAGGAGTTTAAAGGCAGCAGCAGACTGGTCAACAATCCTTTGTGCAGCACATTTTTCATTTATTTATTTTGGTGAGGCAATCTGGGTCAAGTGACTTGCCCAGGGTCACACAGCTAGTGTCAAATGTCTGAGGCTGGATTTGAACTCAGGTCCTTCTGACTCTAAGGCCACAGCTCTACCCACTTCGCCACCCAGTTGCCCCGTGCAGCACATTTTCATTCACACAAGGGATGGCACTGAATCTGAGACATCTGGGAAGAGTCAGCAGATTAGAGGGGCTATGGAAAGGAAGGTCAACTTGTGGATTAGAGTCACAATTGGTTTTCTAGAGGTGTACCATATATCTGCAACATAAACGGGGAATCCAGGCCTGGATGACATCATCTAAGGGATCAATGACAGTGTGAGAAGATGATCCTGTTAACTTAGCTAACATGCAGGTTATGACAAGCTTTCTCTATTCCTCCAAATGTGGTAAGGCATGCCTGGGTTCCATCCCACACAACAATATCACTTCCTAATGTGGAAGGCCAGGTATTTTATAGGGAAAGGCAAGATCTTGCTTAGGCCTAATTAGAAGATATTAAGGGTAGGTGTCAATTAGTAGGAAGCTAGAAGTTTACAGCAAGGAAGATACTAGATATTCAGGGACTTCCAGAGTAATGCACCAGATGTAACAGGAGAAAGGACCATATCTGGAGCACAGATAATTATAAGAATGGCTACATACCACTTACCTTCCCCCTCTCCCCCACCCCTTCATGAAAATTTTCTGGACTGATGATGCATATGGAATACATACATTCTAGTAAATTGCCCTGGGAACCCAAGATGCTTTTTACAATGAGATGTGTATTTGTATGTATATGTATATATACACATGTGTATATATACACATATAAATAAATTAGTGATGCATTCCAAAGATTAATTTGGAAACATGACAGTCGCTGACTTTAGGGTATCCTGGGCATTGTAACAAAAATACCAGGGTTACATTTCTAAGTGGCAGCCCTCAAGTAAAAACACCCCCCCCTTTTTTTTTAAGTCCTTTCAGAATTTTTTCAGTTATAGATTCATATGTCAGAGATGGAAGGAACTTATCTAGCCCAAACCTCTCAGTTTCATGGAAAAGAAAACAAAGGCCCAGAGAAATGAAGTAGATTTGCCCAAGATCACAGTGCTGGGCCTAAAAACTCATTACTTCTAGCTTGAAGGTCAGGTCACTTCCATTATACAATGCTGGCTTAGGGCATGCCTCTTTTTCAGCCAGCCTCCAGACCAGAGCTTTTACTGATATAATCAATTCAAAGGATATAACTAGCTAGGCTAAAGCCTAACTCTAATACAACATCCATTTTCTATTTCAATAAACAAAAACAGATTCTTTACAACTGTGCACAGCAATACAAATTTAGTAGATGATCCTTTGGTTACCAGATTGTTAAGGAAGCCAAACAAAACCAGTCTAGGCCCTTATTAAGCAAATTACAAATTCCAGGGGTACCACATAGGTTGGCCACAGATTCTATTACCCTGCCCTAGTCTCAATTGCATCTGGAATCAATTAACAGACATTTATTATTAAGAGCTTATTTTATGCTAGATATTGTACTAAGCAGTGATACAAAGGAATGCAAACAATAGCAAAATACAAAGAAAGGTAAAAAAAAAAATTCACCCTCTGAG